CATAATATGTCTGAAACCAGATAACATTTTAAAATTCAAATCTATTAAAAGTAATTTGGTCGCTAGGGATGAGTGATTATTGAAATAAATTATCGATCATTGAAAATAATCGATTATTTTCAAACAACATATTTTTTTGTCATTTCCTTTAAAATCGACTACTTGATTATCTTTGAAAAATTAAAAATAATCGATTAATTAAAAAGCCAATTAACCGATAAATCAGTGTTTACAAAATATAATAAAAAAAGAATTATCGTTTATTTTAAATAATCGTTTATTTTAAATAATCGATTATTTTCAAAAAAACCATTTTTTTTCGTCCGTGGAAACATATTATTCGATAATTTTTAAAAAATCGAAAATAATCGACTAATCAAAAATAATCGATTAAATAAAAAGTCGATTAACTGATAAATCGATTTTCAAAAAAAAAAAAAACAGAATGATAGACTATTTTAAATAATCAATTATTTTCGATCAATCGATTATTATCAATAATCAATTTTTATTGTAATTCCTTTAAAATCGATAATTCGATTATCTTTGAAATACCAAAAATAATAGATTATTCCTAAATAATCGTCTGTCGAAAATAACTAATTATTTCAGAAGCCGATTCTACGATAAATCGATTTTCCAAAAAAGAACCGAATTATCGATTATTTTCTAATAATCCATTTTTTTCGTCCATTGAAACAGACTATTTGACAATCTTTGAAAAATCGAAAATAATCGATTAATTAAAAAGTCGATTAACTGATAAATCAATTTTCAAAAAAAAAAAACAGAATTATCGAATATTTTAAATAATTGATTATTTTTCATCGATCGATTATTATCAATAATCTACTTTATTGTATTTCCTTTAGAATCGATAATTCGATTATCTTCGAAATATCGAAAATAATCGAAAATTTCAAAATAATCGCCTAATCGAAAATAACCAATTAATTAAGCCGATTCTATGATAAATCGATTATTATCAATAATCTATTTTATTGTATTTCCTTAACATCGATAATTCGATTATCTTTGAAATACCGAAAATAATCGATAATTCCAAAATAATCGACTAATCATAAATAACCAATTAATTAAGAAGCCGATTCTATGATAAATCGATTATTATCAATTATCTATTTTATTGTATTTCCTTTAAAATCGATAATTCGATTATCTTTGAAATACTGAAAATAATCGATAATTCCAAAATAATCGCCTAATCGAAAATAACTAATTAATTAAGAAGCCGATTCTATGATAAATCGATTTTCCAAAAAATAAATCGAATTATCGATTATTTTCTAATAATCCTTTTTTTAATATTTCCTTTAAAATTGATTATTCGATTATCTAAAATAATCAATTATTAAAAAGCTGATTAACCAATAAATCGATAATTTTAAAAAATAACCAAAATATCGATTTTATAAAATAACCGATTATATTCAATCGAATACTGAAAAAACCGATTGAACGAAAATCGATTCTTTTGAATAAATCTACTTTTTTTTTTGTATTTCCTTTAAAATCGATTAATACATTATCTTAAAAAAACAAAAATAATTTATTTAAAACAGCGGATAAATCGATTTTCATAAAAAAATATCAGAATTATCGATAAATCAATTATTTTTGTAACCCCTATCGGTCGTTTGCTTTTATCCGAGCGTTTAGCTCAAAAATTTAGGGATTCGGATTTTTTGATCCCGTTATCTTTGAAACCGCATTCGATTGTATAATAAATAATAAATATTGCTAAATTTTGGATTTTTTTAGTAAACGAAAATTTTGTTCGAGTTGTTTAGGGGTTTGTAATGTAACATTTTATTAATGTGACCAACTCCCGTAACTTTAGTATTTGTTTTGCTTATACTAGATCATATGGTGCCTTTTACTTTGTTTTAAGACTGAAGATTCAAATGTCACTTTCGATTTGAACGCAAATAAGATGAACCTTGTAATTTTAAGTAGGTCATCCTGTATTTCATCTAATATTCTTATAAAAATACCTTATAAAAATAAAATTTAGCTAGCAACTATGATTCTTTACTTCTTATTTATCTACCAAAAAGGGCTTAAAATCACCTTTAGAAAACATTCTTATAAAACTACTTTTTAAATACAAAATTTCGTTAGCAACAGTGCCTATTTAATTTTTATTTAAAATAAATGTTCAAAATTTTATCTTTTTGTAAATTTATGTAAGTAATATGAAATCTGATTTCGGATGCTTAATATTTATTGAAACCCCTTAATGCGGATCTGAAGTATTCAGCCCAGAGAAACATGGCGCTTTATGTCAAAACGTTAATAAATATTTACCGCTGAAAACGAATATGTTCATATCATTAGTACTTGTATTCTAAGTACATACATTTTTTCAAGATACATCGTGGCATTTTGAACTTGAAATTGATTAACTAAAGCACTTTAAATTGCTAAAATACCAAAAAATAAATCAAAAAACAGCTGTCAATGGTGATTAAACTCAGGTGGAGGTGATCGATGAATGGAAAAATCGGAGCAATTCGGGTGGCGTCGTGAAAACAATGATTTTCAATTGGTGGGTTACTTTGGGTTAAAATAGACAACATGCGCAGTGTGCAATGTTACATCTTCGGTCTCTTTAATCTAAGTTTGCGCCACAACAGGTGCCTTCGCGACATAACAGGTGTCTGGCGGTCATTTGAAAGTCAAGCGTGTTTTTTCACAAGTTTAGATTAGTTTATACAGGGAGTGACTATTTAGTACTTTATTATTTTTGTTTGCTAAAAGCGGTTTATACAGGGAGTGTCTACCTAGTATTTAGCAGATAGGACATGTTGAATGTAATTTCAACACTAGTTCAAAAAACATATTAGCTTGAATGGCGCGAATGGATAAGTGCATTTTGGAGTCGGAAAAATTACCGCAATATTTTTTTGATTTTTGAGTTATTTTTTCATGCAAGCCTTTTTAACCTTAGAATGTAATTGTATGACTTGATCTACCATATAAATTTGTGTTGGTTCATGCCGTTTGGCTAAAATTAACAACTCAGATTTAAGGGTGTATTGTGGAAATGCAACATTTTCGTTACGTAGCCATTCTTGTATTTTGGCTACAGTCCAATTCTGTCTTGGCGGTTTGTTTAAAAGTTCTGTGTGATAGCTCGCATTATCTAACACTATAACAGACGGTTCACTTAAATTTGGTAATAGTTTTTAATTTAACCATTTGATAAACATATCCGAGTTCATGTTATCGTGGTAGTCTTCTGATTTTGATTTAGAGGAAAATATTAATCCTGCACCATCCACAAATCCATTCTTTCCACCTGCGTGCAAGATTATGTGTCGCTCTCTCACCATTAGTATGTTTTATTGATTTTATATTTTCATCTTACCATATTCTTTTCGTTCCTCCTTTGGAAAATATCCAGGTTTCATCCAAATATATAAACGAAGCTCCATTCTCTTTTAAACGAGTGTATTCTCTTAAAAAATGTATTCTTTTGCGAACAACATTATTTTTTTCACATAAAGCTTTTCTATTATCTTCTTTCTTAAATTTGAAACCTATTTCCTTAAGCAACTTTCAAAGACTTGTTCTGCCAAATTCACCAATTTGTATTTCTCTTAAGTTAGCCAGCAATGTGTCTAAGTTGACATGTTCCTTTTTCGCACGCATTTCATATACCATATCACGAATAGGAAATTTTGTTTCACCAGATATATCCGACGTTTTCAGTTTTTTGCGAGGTATTTTTTCTTTTTTTTTTGCTCTCTGTACACTCACTACTGGCTTTAAAGGTCCTTCGTTATCTTTTTCCGCCGTAAAATACTTATGTAGATTACAAATTAAGTCATCTACACGTAACACACGCTTTGGCATTTTCAGTTTCGACATACGTTCTCTTCGAAATCCAAAACTGAACTAAATAATTTAGCGCAATTAGTCCTATAACATCAGTACAAAAATAGAACATTTAATCTTAATTTTATACCTGAGAAGAGGACTTCCGAAAATTCCTGACCATAAAGCGTTTATTGTATTCGGGGAAAACGGTATTACCATAAACAATGTCCAAAACAAAATTATAAATATTTTCATTTTTTCGTGTATTACTTTAGTAATTTAATTTTAATAAATATAATTACATACTATAGGCATTTTCGAAAACCTACTATAGATAACAAATCCAGATTACCGGTTTTACCCGATGGATCACGTGGATCACTAAACTTAGTGCCGACAGTTTATGAACGAGGTGGATTATTGATCCTGTTTATCTACGGCTGTCAATCTTTGACTTTTCCCCCCTATTTGTTAAATAACTACTTTAATTAAACATATTTGTAATCTGAATAATTAAGTCGCAATATGGGCATAAAGATTACAAGTTATAACTAATTAAATGTAGAAAAAACTTCAAATCTACTACTGGCAGACACCAAACACCAATAAATTGCGTTATCCCTTTATAAAATCCAGCGGTGCGCTCGCGGATCTATTACTAATCTACTCGTAGAGTGGGTCACAAAATATTGATCTCGATCACAAAGCTGGATCAGTAATCTACTAGTTTCCGAACACGGAATAGGTTGGTAACCGTAGGTAAACGAACAATAGGATCCATAATCTTTCTGACCCGAGTAAGTTTCCGAAAACGCCAAATATAAGTATTTAATAATTAAAATATATTCACCCTCTACCCACCGGAAGACTACGCTTATTTTACTCAACTACCTGATGCGAAATTATCCTGTAGACCGGCTCAGTCGTGCATCTGTTTCTTAATCCGATATGGGTGTAAATTCAGTGAATGACCTTATAGACAGTTCCTTACTGACTTCGGTCGCGGCATAACATTACATTACTTTGTGAAATAAAATTAAATGCAATTATTAAAATAGTAAAATTAATAATATCAAGACAAGTTTTGTATAGCTAGATTAACCTTTTAAATCAGTGTGCGTCGGTTTGAAAATGTCAACAGTAATTAGAATAAATACCTCTGAACTAGTTCCTATTAGAATTTCTTTTTCTCCATCAAAATCAATATCGGTGACTTCGCAACAAGTCAGAATGCTGGTGCTATCCAATCTAGGTAGAGTTGAATAATTACTAAGACCATAGTTTAGAATATCACTACAAAATAGATAAAAAAATTAGTGTACATCTATAATAGGGTGTCCGTGTCCGTTATTTACCAATTTGATTTTTGAGTTTGCAGCGCCCCTAAAATTTTTAGAGTATGACTCAAAAAAAAATATCGAACCCATATAAGCCCTTAAGGCGGCGTTAGCAAATGTATTAGCATAGGAGAATTTTTCAACATATAAGACGGGCTTTCTAGACAATGAATTTATGCGGATTTGCTTTTATAATATTCTAATAGTATTGAACTAGTTCCTGAATATATTTTAAAGTGGAAAAAAATTGAGAGAATGAAGAAAATGACGAATTTGTGAAAATTTTACATGTAAAAAAGTCTCATCATAAATCGCTATAAAAACTATTTCAGGAACTAGAATATATTCCCATTAGAGGCTCCGCATAAGAAATATTTAATTTTTTGCTTTCATTTTCCAGTCTTATATGCACAAAATTTTTTAATTTTAACCCAAAAAACGCAACCAACATTACATAAAACAGGTGTAATCCCTGTAATTTTAGGTTCAGGCAATCTTATATAGATGACGCCACCTGAAAATATCAAATTTATATCGAGCAACGTTGTCATATTGTTATGAAGTATCGGTAGCAAGGAAGTTCGTTATTTTATTACAAAAATTAGGTAAATTGTGTTAAGTCTGGTTTTGGAGAAACATTTAAAAACGTGTAGAGATTTTGTAAAATGTTTCATTTTTATATTACAAAATATAAGAACGTAATTTGTCAGATATTAAATATAATGTTGAGTTTTGTTTTTTCTGGCTGGATTTACGTGAAAATTGGAACAAGATGCATGTGAAAACATCGATCCTGGCCTTTCAAATGCATTTGTGAGTTCACAAATTAGTTGAGAAGAGTTAAAAGTAAGAGCAAACTTTTAAACCAATTTATATTCTTAAAATCAACTGAAAAAGTACTTAAAATATTTATTGAAAATACAATAAATTTATCACACTGATTATTGCAGCATAGTTTAAATTTTATTATTATTATTATTATTATTATCTCTTCTGTATTTTTGTTTACATTGTATATTTTTTTACTTTCCTATCTGTATACAGATAAGGAAAGTATAGTAATCATGATTTTTTTCGACATCGATTTTTTGACGGATTTTTACATTTTGGGATCCCCTGAATCCGTTTTGCCTATTTTCGCGATGCTGTCTGTGTGTGTGTCTGTATACTCGATAACTCATGAACGGATAAACAGAAAAATACCAAATTTTAAAATTAAGTCTTATTCCGGCCTGCGGTGAACTGATTAGATTTTGAGCACAGTTGGCACTTGGGGGTACTTTATAGGGGGTCATTTTTATATTTTATGGAATATATTTGTTATTTACGGTTGTAGAAGAAAATTCTTTGAATAAAAGTTAATTCAAATAATATTTTCTACAATTTTTGTTATATACAAAATTTTGCTAAAATGGTTCGTATTCCAGAAATTTGACAAAATGTAAAAAATTCAAATTTTTATGAAAATTATTTATATAAAAGTTGTTTGTGATACAATTTTCTATAATTCTTTGTATAATTTCTCTAAAGTGGACCGAATTCGAGATATTTGATAATTAGTGTAAATTTAAAATTTTGAAGAAAACTCGAAAGCGGATAAAGAAAAAACATTATTTGTTAAATTGAAGCGTTATTCCGACCTGTGGTGAATTGATTAGATTTTGGACAAAGTCGGAACATCTGGGGACGGGGTTACTTTATGGGAGGTCGTTTTATATTTTATTGAATATATCTGTTATTTATGTTTGGCGAAGAAAATTCTTTAAATAAAAGTTACTTTTAATATTATTCTCTATAATTCTCACTTTTTACAATTTTTTCCATAAATGGACCGTATTCGAGAAATTTGATAAAAGGTGCAAATTCTGATTTTTAAGAAAATTGGTAAACTAAAAGTTGTTTGCACTATCGATCTCTATCATTTTTGTTTTTTACATTATTTCTCTAAAATGGACCGTAATAGAAAAACTGGAGGAAAAGTGTAAAATTAAATTTTTTCAGTGTTTTCATTTGCAGTGAATATATATCGAAAAAGTAATGTATGTAAATGTATATATTTAGTTTATCCTTTAAACATTTACAGAGTTGCTGCAATAGGTTGTACAAAATAATCGGGAAAAGCCTGTAATAACTAGATAGGAAAGTCATGTGTTGGACACATCAGATTTTTTCGTAAATGGTTAAATTTAGGTCAATAAAATGAATTATTACTATTACTTATTATTGACCGTCTTCACCGTCGTCAAACATGTTTTGCTTACAACTGTCAACAGTATCAATCGCTTCACTGCTTTTTAAATCATGATGGATAAATAATGGAGCGAATAGATTCTGCTTTTATTCTTAAGGCCTACTTAAGCATAAAAGCATAATCTATTTGCGCCACCACAAAAAAAGAACAAAATGAAATTTAATAAACAAACTCAGTTGATCAACTGCTGGGTAACGTGTAACTACCTATAAAAACACTAAAAAAACACAAAACAAAACAATGATAACTAACAAATAAGCTCAGACTGGATGAACAAAGAACTACTTAATAATATACGAACCAAAATAGATTCAAATGTTTATATTACATTGTCCTAAAAGTTTTATTCTGGTTCATAATAGTATATTATAAAACGAGCAATTTATAGCCATTATTCACGCAGGATGACCCGAGTGAATAATGGCCATAAATTGCGAGTCTAGTACTATAGTTTGTCCACGACCATTATGGTTTCTTTATTAAATAAAAGTTAAGTGTAGAATGGAAAGTTTTTATTAAACATAGATAACTAACTGTTGTTTTTTCCACTTTTCAATTTTCGATTTTCTATTTTTAGATTTTTCGATTTTTTGATTTATCGATTTTTTGATTTTTCGATAGTTAGGAGGTAGAATATTGATTTATTATTAAGTGGTCGTGGACAAAATTATTTAAATACGGTCCCTATAGGTTCGATATTCTAATGTTATAGTGTTTGTCTCGTCCGGCGGTACAATAAAATGTTACGAGCACTTTAGATTTGGGAGGGAGGGGACGCTTGTCGGGTCGCAGCAGGTACTTGGGATAATCCGATAAAATAATAATCATAAGAATTTGTTAGTAGCACTGACCTTCCCTAATCTATTATAAATAGGTAGGTATATTGGGCGGTACGAAATTCGTCACAACTTTATTACCTAGACCGACAAACTTCTCAGGTAAAATTTAAGGGTATACGAAATTCGTCACACATCCCTTTTAATGGCTCTTCGGCTTTGCGAACACGCATACCTGCTTTAATCTAAGTACCTGATCATCTGTGACATTTTAAAGATTAGAAACTAGTTATTTTTTGTTACTATTAGTTTTAAACTATAAAACTATTAATATATGATATTATTAAATTATTATTATTGGAACAAGGTATTATAATTTTAAGTTGCCAAAGAAATTTGCAATTTTTGTGTCAGTCGCAAACCGTATACATGGATGGAATATCCCAATACTGCACTAAATTTTTTACGCAATTATTCACCATATATTGTTACTTAAATGGACTGATAAATTCTCCTAACCAGTGATCAAATAATTTCTTTATACAGGCCCCCAAATCGAAGAGAATAACCCAAAGAAAAATGATACTCAATCTGACTCAAATATTTTTAATTACTATCAAAAAAAATCACACTGACATCGGTTTTCAAAGGTTACTAAAAATACTTTTAATTAAAACTAAATAAGTGAATAGTATACATTTTCTTCATAGACATTATATACCTCTAGTTTTTAGTTTATTTAAAAACAAATCAGAGGAGACATATTGCGATCTAAAATTAAGATCGCAGCGCCGTCTGTACTTAACATTTAAACTAATTGTTATGGCTTGCTATTGTTTACATTTTTGAGTTTGTAAACAAACAACCCATAAAAAGTATTTAGTTTATATTGTGCTATTTTAAGGAAAACACGAGGGAAAACATATTGTTGTTAATTTTTAGTGATTAGATACTTTTATTTCAATAGTTTTTAGGTTAAAGTAGAATATATATTTTTATTTGGTAAGTAACCCCCTATTAATTTTGTTTTTAAATTACATTCATTCATTTATGTTAATTTAAGATATATTTGTGTTATCTTTTAATAAAATATTAATATATTTATTTTATTTTTAGTGAGATGTCTGAAATAAGGCTAAGTTTAATGGAACTTATGAAGTATATTGATGCAGGTGAAAATTCCAGGACTGTTATTAAAGAAGATGCTATTTTAAATGCGGGCCACATAGTTTTTATGTGGAAAGAATGAATTTAGTGATAAACATGTTTTTGCAGTTGTTCTCCAAACTAGTGCATTGAATTCAGGTCCCCATATTGTTGTAGGCCAGTGCAAGATGAGTGAATGGCAGTGTTTGTTTTAAGCTGGGAACAGTGGACAGTGCAAACATATTTCAGGAGTCTTAATAAAGTGTTCTAGGTGTATACTGTTTCAAATCATAAAAGAACTATCAAGCTAATTCGATCGAATACCTTTTGATTTTCAAAAGGAAAAACTTGTATTTCGTGCAAAACTTTTTTATTAATCAATGCAAATCGATAAATAATGGCACTACACAAGATATTCTTTTATATTTTCAAATAAATCTAAAATCAGTTTATGATTATTACAAAAACTATGTGTCCTTGGTACGGAAGCAGAATATTTATGGCTTCACTTTTATGTTTGCATAAACTGTTTGATAATCAAATTATTATTTCAATGTTCCATAATTTTATTTAACAAGATGTTTTAAAACATATAGAATAATTATTCTTTTAAAATCATCTATTAACACAAGTAGGTACTATTTTGTTTGTTTGTTAGTTTTGATGTAAAATTTACTTAGTCATAATTTTAATTTGTAGTTTGTATTAGTTTTTAGTCTTAATACTTTTATAATATATTATTTAATCCATGTTACTTATTATCTTACAAACAATTGTATGACACTTCGCAAGTGTTCTTATTCTTACCTTTTTAACACACTGATGTTTGTAATGTTTGGATATTGTGTGAATAATTATGATATTAATAACATAAGTAATTCATGTGATCTCTTCTTTAATACAATAAATGAAAATGTACAGCTTGAAATTTATGATTGATTTTGTACTTGAGAGAATACTCTTTTTAATAATTATTTTTATTCTCAAGTTTACTAGTCATCGTGTACAGTTACATTTTCTAATGAGTGATTGTACATTGATAATGTATTTTTGTACATTTTTTATATTATTCTGTAATGGAATAGTTCGACACATGCAACGAAGACTATAGTAACTCATTATTTCCAGTTTTGAGAAAATCTAAGATAATATAGTATTCAAAGTATTTTATGGCCTAAAATGATTTACTATATTTGATGGTAGTATTTCTGGTTGCTTAACCTCTTCGTTTAGATATACGATACTTATTTAGATCAAAGCTTTTGGCAAATATATGTGCTGGATAAAGGTAACTAAAAACTCTCAAAAAATGAGTCTTCGTTGCATGGGTCGAGTTGATTCTGTGGGTAAAAAGGCTATTATTATAAGCAATAAATATAAAAATCAAATATTTTTTATTTTTCCTGTTAACAAAATATGCCAATGTTTACATAATAATAAACGTTCTTTATTGAGTTACAATACCCAATAGGCCATCTTCTGAAGTACTTCAGCTGATTTGACTGTATTTTCTAGTACAGTATGTTAAAGTTGTTAATACCAGTGAATGAACACAACTCTTTGTCAGATTTTAAAAGATCTGATATTGTTTTAATTTTTGGGGTATGCGCACTTGTACACTAATGGCAATATACTTGAAAAAGAGTATTTGCAACCTCTGTCTTGTTTGGCGTGAGTAGCTAGGTTATCTTGAAACAAATCACTCTCAACTATGACTTTGTTTAATCTCACTATCACATTTAACACTGATTGAACTTTTTTTAGTTTGGACACAAAATCTATTCTGTGGTTTGGATCTTCTTTTTGTTCTCTCAATATTTGATTTTGAAGTTTATTGAACAGAATCGTCAAACATTTACTTAAAAACTGGCAGGAAAACACAGCGATTTTTTGTTATATTTATTTTAACTTTGGATGAGGCATCTACAACACAAAAAAATCTGATGTGTCCAACACATGACTTTCCTATCTAGTTATTACAGGCTTTTTCCGGTTATTTTTTACAACCTATTGCAGCATTTCTATAAATGTTTAGAGGATAAACTAAATATATACATTGTCCACATACATCTACCTCGAAACATTTTTCTATAGATATTCATTGAAAACGAAAATACTGAAAAATTTAAATTTAGCACTTTTCCATTACGGCCCATTTTAGAAAAATCATGTATAAACAAAAATTATAGAGATCGATATCGCAAACAACTTTTAGTTCAACAATTTTCATAAAAATCAGAATTTCAGGAAATTTTGACATAAAACAAAAATTATAGATAATAATATTAGAAGTAACTTTTATTTGAACAATTTTCTTCTCCAAACATAAATAACAGATATATTCCATAATATATAAAAACGGCCTCCCATAAAGTACCACCCCAGATGTTCCGACTTTGTCCAAAATCTAATCATTTCACGTCAGGCCGAAATAAACCTAAAGTTTAAAATTTAATGTTTTTTTCTTTATCCGTTTTTGAGTTTTCTTCAAAATTCGAAATTTACACATTTTCTCAAATATCTCGAATACGGTCCATTTTAGAGAAATTATGTATAGAATAAAAATTATAGAGAATTATATTACAAACAACTTTTATTTGAACAATTTTTATAAAAAATTATTTTTTTTACATTTTGTCAAATTTCTCGAATACGGACCATTTTAGGAAAATTTTGCATAAAACAAAAATTATAGATAATTATATTAGAAGTAACTTTTATTTGAAGAATTTTCTTCTCCAAACGTAAATAACAGATATATTTCATAAAATATAAAAATGATCACCTATAAAGTACCCCCCCACATGTTCCGACTCTGCCCAAAATCTAATCAGCTCATTGGACGCTGAAACAAAGCTTAAGTTTAAAATTTGGTGTTTTAATGTGTATCGGTTCATGAGTTATGCGTTATACACACACACACGCACGCACGCACGCACGCACGCACGCACGCACGCACGCACCCACACACACACACACACACACACACACACACACACACACACACACACACACACACACACACACACACACACACACACACACACACACACACACACACACACACACACACACACACACACACACACACACACACACACACACACACACACACACACACACACACACACACACACACACACACACACACACACACACACACACACACACACACACACACACACACACACACACACACACACACACACACACACACACACACACACACACACACACACACACACACACACACACACACACACACACACACACACACACACACACACACACACACACACACACACACACACACGCATTTCTTGCAGAATTTCCACTTGCAATTTATAAAAATTACTCTACATTTACCAACTTTAGGAAGCAAATGAAATGTAAAAGAAAATCCATTTTTTTTTAGGGCTGCATCCAGGCACCCAACAAGTGTGTTTTTCACTGATATTCCACTTATCGTTCAAATAAAATAATATTTTAATATATATGATATAAATTTAAAGCATTAGCTTATTATTAAATAAAATATTTCAAACAAAATACTTGTTAAATTTTAAAATATTGAAATGATCTGATAAACAATAAACAAAACTTGACAGAACACAGACGGTCAAGTGTCAAATGGCATAACTTTTAGTTCACAGTAGAGGGCGTATCGCTTATCTTCAGATCCCAATAGGCATTGTTTTGAAAATATTAAGCATAAATAGTAGTTAAAAACGTTAAAAAATGAGTCCCCCTGTATATATATTTTATATTTGTGTAAATTGTAAATAACCATAATAATATAGTTTTGTCTAAATTCAAAACAATTTTAAAATATGGTAACCCGGCGCCGAAGCTTTCGCTACTTTTGCTCCAACTAAAAAGCAACATGGACGCAGTGAAATGATCAATTTTAGATGAAATCGTATTTTGTACAGAACTTAAAAAGTACGCAACATTGATTAGCTATAAAGTTTTTTGAACCACATCTGTGACTATCACTTTTTTATATTTTTTAATAGTATTTAATAAATAGCAGGACAAATGAAAATGTCTCATTTCAATCATTAAACATTTTTCTATAAGCTGCCAAAGTTTCACTGGAGTCCATCCAGTGAAAAATAAGTTCTGTAAAAAATCGTAAACCTATATTTTGACCACGTGAAATACACTGAAATGGCGACCTTAATATTGATGATAAACCGTGCCACAAAGGCAATTCATATCCCATTTAAATAACATGGGGTTTTTGTAATTTTTGCAATCAATTTTTTCGTTCTCCAGCCATCTCATACAAAGCTGCGGCAATCAATTATTTTTGTAGTAAATTTAACGCTCTACAAAAAATTCTTAGTAATTTTTTCGATAAATTCACTTACTTAAAAGTTATTCAAGCTCAAAGTTGAACTAAAAATAACTTTTTTTTTGTACTTTCCTTTTTTTTCAATAATTTTGACAGATTCAACAAAATAGCTGAATCAGATATTTTTGCAATACAAGAATAAATTGTATACCTAGAGCTTTGTCTAGGAATGTTTGCGAGCAAAAACCACGTAGGAATTTTAAAAACTAAGTGTCAGCTATCAAGTCAATATTTACATTTTTCCAAATTTCACCCAGCGCCAGTGTAAGTAATCCCACACGTCAACAGGGAAAGCTTATGTCAAAGCCCGAATGGGAATAGAGAACAGCGGATTCGAAACCGTCTATACTAAAAGACTTAAGAATAGATGCCGGCTTAACGTCGATGAAGTGAGAAAACACGCCAAAATCCAATCACCACTAAACTTTAAAGCAAAGACAAAACTAAAAGCAACACCAATTGTAAGTACAAACAGTTTACCTCTAACATATACTAACCCCGAGGTCAATTGTAACACCCAGGGGAACCCCTCAGCAAAAAACTGGAGGAACGACCTTCAAACGACCCCCAAACCTTAGAAAAGGCCTCGCAGATTGTTATACTGCAAAATACAGAGCTACAAAGTAGTAATAGCAATGCGAATCTAATAAGAGTACTTACAGAGGGGGACTCCGATGAAATGGAATTCCATGACTCATCGGGTGCTAATATAGATAGCCAGGATGATAGTAATACTGGAAACAACACTAACAACACGATTATCAACTAAAACGCAGATACCAACAATGGAAAATAAACAGAAAACTCTGATACAGAGAAGAAAGACGAAAATAACACGGAAAAGGTAATACACTCCACAAACACAGGAAACACACAGGAATACAAAGATGATCTCGACAATATTAATGAGCGTAAAGCCGGCTATAAAATAAGCAGAAAGGAAGGAGAAGAGAACACACTTAAACTCACCATCAAACAATATGAGATTCCAGAACATGTAACCAGAAGGGTGCTAGACTTCTCTGGACCCCAAAGCGCAGGAATATGCGAGAAACCTCGCAAATCAACCTCACCCGGCCATACAAGACAAACTATCTCCTAACACTCACCAATTATTATTCAGGAAAAGAGTAGGACAGGAACATACAACAGATATGGAGGTCGATGACAATAGTGACAAAAATACTAATGATTTGGTAGAGCCAAAGAAAACGAGAAAACTAAAGCACTTCCTGTTGCAAGTTGAAAACAAAGCCAAACTTAGTCTTAAAAACACGTTCCAACCATTAACAGATGACTCAGACGAAGACAGTGACGCAGATATAGAAAGAAGGAGAACCAAAAGGACTAAAAACAACCCCAAAAAGGCAACTGAAACCATTGAGGTACTACAAGCAGCACAAAAAGACACACCTAAGGTTAAAAAGGCCAAAAAAATCCACCCTACCCCCAATAGTGTTGGACGGTATCACAACAAATCACAGAGACATGATGGACACAATAAAAGGGACAGTAAAATATACAAACAATTCAATCATACTATTCCTTGAAGAAGAAGAAGATCATACCAAACTAATATCAAACATCAGATCTGAAAAAATTCCTTTCCACACTTACATAAACAAAGTGGATAAATCCCATGCGTTTGTACTTAGAGGGTTAACCAAAGGAATAACAACAAATGACTTCTTCATGAAATCACAGCAAGGGCAGTATATGAGATGACCAATAAAAACAGAGCACTTTTCCTAGTGGTAACAGACTCTTCATTTCGTTAGATTTTCTTAACAAAAACGCCAGGATAGTATTAAATACAAGGATTGTTTGGGAACTTAGAAGATCCACAAAATTGATCATCCAATGCCATAATTGTCAGGGGTGGGGACACGCAACATCCAACTGCGGTCGCCCACCCCAATGCCTAAAATGTGCAGGGGACCACATCACACGAATCTGTACCAAAACGCGTGATACTGCGAATTTCACCAAATGTAGGCATTATACAGAAAGGCTCGAGAGACTTGAAACAAAAAAAGCTCTGGAGAACAAAAAATACGTAGCAGCCCCCATACCCAAAGAAAACGCTTGGAAGCGTAGTCACAGACTGCAAGCAGCAGGTAGAGGCCATGTTGCAGAGAGGCCAAAACAGAGAAGAATTCCCACCACTACCAATCCAACAGCAAAGGGCCAGGCCACTGGCAAAACAACCCACCACTAGAACGAGCAAAAACACCAACAGAAGTAGACCAGGAGCTTATATGGGTTCGATATTTTTTTTAGTGATATACTAAAAATTTTAGGAGCGCTGCAAACTCAAAAATCAAATTGGTAAATAACGGACACCCTAATCTATAATAATCCATACTTACTGAAAAATAACGCCTGGTAATATTGTATTTACAACAATTAAATTCAATCTTTTGTCTAAATGTTTACTCTCGTCATTTTTCTTTTCAATTTCTTTGAACATTGTACTTTCTTCAATTAATTTATTTTCAGGCGCGTCATTTTCTGGACTGATGTATACTCTTGAGATATAGTTACCAAATCTTGTTGAAAAATTATAAATTAATTTATTGTTTCTCACATCAACTTTTAATAACTTTACATATCCACATTCACAAGCGAAAGTTGTTACTCTCCTGAAAAAAAATATTTTTTTTTACACAAACTACAGAATTAATATGTAAGCCATATCAGTCTACTATAAAGATATAATTTCCTATCAATTCTAGAATATTAAATATTCTTGTGCAAAATGTATAAATAATGGCTATTTCCTAAATATTCGTTTATGTTTATGAAAAAACCGTAAACTTTAAAATAATCTGCAACCAATTCAATTAAATGTCAAATGAAAATTATTAACAAAAGATTCAGGATTCAAAACCTATTTGGAGACGAATTCTTTTTTTTATGTTTGTAATTTTATTTTATAAATTAATAAATTCACATGTCGGTGTAAATTATTTTTAAAATAGTTGTCAATTTTATTTAATGGGTTGTAGAAAACATATAGGGCCCCATAAATGTGTTTTTCGGTTGTTTTTGAAAATACGAGAAAATGTCAAATACAAAGTTTTACAGTTCACAGAAGTGCATATTGTAAAAATATTTTCCAAAAAGCAAGGCAACATAAAATTTTCTTTCTTCAAATGGTATTTTATTTTTGAATTCTAGTAAAAAATTAAGTAGTTTTGTCTAAAATACCTCATGTCTAAATTCAATTGTTTTCAAGCTTTTGACATTCGAAAATTGACTTTTTCACACTTTGAGAAGCCGAAGCACCAAAACGTTGGAATTTAGAGTAAAACGATTTACATGTCCCTATCTTAGTTTTTCATATCTAGCTCTGCCTCTAACAAAAGGACAAGTACACAAAGCAACTAGGGACAAGAAAAAGCCGCGATCTGGCATCTCTTCCGAAGTAACGTCCCGGAAAGGTAAAAACCCAGACATGACCACAAAGTTCTGTTTGGAATAAGCTGCAAGGATACAGCTACAAGCTATAAAATAAACAAGGATAACTCTTACGGTAAGATGACTACCGAAAGACAGCTCTTTGTCAAAAAGACACTGATGGGATAGCTGGACAAACCAATTTTATCCGCCTTCTGCAGCAAAACCAAGCCACCTACATCAGATCTTGGACGCACTCTGGTAAAATTATCAGAGTACCGTGGGACGATGACTTGACGTTGGAATGGCGAAAAACTAAGGCACCAACCTTAAAAACATGGGAAGGAGCAACACTCTCTGTTGTAATGGTGAACGATCTCCCTAAGCTCACCAAAGCCTCTTTTTGGATCCCAGGGGAAGTATAAGCTGACCTTGACGAGAAGCAGGTTGTGTTTAAGCGACTTTAAGGGACAAAACTTCAACTTGCACGTGGAGAAATGGTGCACCTTTGTGCATCTTTTCGTCTTTGGTATCGGAAATGAAGACATGGGAATACTAAAGGTCTCTGTAGAGGATCCTCTTTCCTCCAAGTAAAGCCAAGAGCGGAGCGAAAAAATGGCAACCGATGACCTCCAGCAAAAAAACTCCGGAAAGTCACACGAGATCATCCTTTCCCCACTTTCGGAGTAAGAGAAGGTCAAATAAACAACCACCTTGCTGCCCAAAATTTAAGGGAGAACCGGCAAGCAATTAAAGAGGTAACAATCATACAATGTAACTTGCAGTACAAAAGGATGGCTTCAGCAACATTATGCCTTGATGAGCTGCAAGATACAATAGCACTTATCCAGGAACTCTGGATAATAAAAACCAAAATATTAGGTCTTAAAAATCTATATGATCCATCTTTTAGCTTTCCCAGCAACCAACAATCTAGGACAGCCATTTATATTCCTAAGAAATATAAAGCCCACTCAACGTCGCACCTTTCCACTTACGATTTAACTGCAGTTAAGATGAACTACGCCATCAAAAGTAAAAAAAGGTTGATCCTGGCATCTGCATACCTCCCCTCCGACGCAACCACGCCACCACCTAACAAAAAGATGGATGGTCAGATTGAATACTGCCTGTAACAGAAGTTTGAGCTGGTAATAGATTGCGACTCAAATGCTCATCACTTCAGTTGGGGCAGTAAGGATAACAATGCTAGAGGTAAGTCACTTTATGATTATATAATTACCAAATATCTTTGTATTTTAAATAAAGGTACTACGTCAACATTTTTAAACTCTCGCAGTCAAACACTAATAGATATAACTTTGTCCACAACTGGTATCTATAAATCAATTCTAAACTGGCAAGTGTCTGATAACATTTCGATGTCAGACATTCAAAATAAACTTGATGTTGCCGGCCTCTATATTATCTCAGAACCCTAGGAAGACGGCCAGGGCAACCTATGCCCACCTTCTTCAAGAGGCTCTGAAAGAGCTGGAGGCCAAAACACCAAACAATATCAATACTGTAACGATTATTTAATTTAAAAATAGTTTAATTATAATTTATTTATAACGTACTAATTAATTTATTTTTTTCTACGTTCATGCAAAAAACAAAACTTTATTGAACTATATTTAGTAAAAAACTGGTTCTTTATTGTACTAGTGCAATAAACATTTTATTGTATTCATCTGTCATTTTTCTACAGCGTTTTATGATCATGACAAACATAAATATTCAAATCGACCCCAAATATTTAATTCATTTTCATTTTCTGTGAGATTGTATTACGTTTTAAAAAATATTAATATTGAAAATTGTACAAATTGTACATTTACTTTTAATATTAGTGGCAAAAACAATGTTTAAGCTTAATTATTGTTCAAAACACAGTTGTTCCTAAAGTTTTGGTTGAATTATTTTTCTTAATATAGTTATAGTAATTTTTCAATGTTAATCGATGCTAATTATTAGCTATTAAATATTTTGCTATTAAATTACGCTTTTTATTCTTCTGCACTTAGAGTCGCCTAAATGAAACATTTTTTGGTTTTTGCATGAACGTAGAAAAAATATTGTATGCAACTCGTGCAAAAAGTGTTTATTGCACTCGACAATTTCACGTGCGCGCAATAAACACTTACTTTTTGCATAAATAACTATAAAACTTAGGCACTATACCTCACAATTGTAATTTATTATTATAATTTGTCTTTACTATTCAACACTTAAATTGAAATTTCATGTCTTTCGACAAACTCACGCTATTTATATAAAGCCAGCTCTGCACTGGTAGTTTCTCAACGTTCAAGAACGTCCGGGAACTTCTTCTCTATGACTCAGCCCCGGCAATCTCTCTGGTAACTTCTCGAAGCAGTGCGATTGCCTTTATATGGCCAGCGTTAGACTTCATATCGCGGGTAAGGTAGTAAACAAAGAACAGAGTCGACTCTGCACGACAATACTTTGGAAAAGTTCTCGAATTCTATCCAAAACATAATAAATAAACCCTATAAGACATCCTGCCTCTGAGGCTGGTCCAACACGATCAGACGACTAACGCATGGTGGTGTCACAAGTTGGATCACCTCACAAAACTCAAAGATAACTGGGATACTTACCTCACCTCAGAAAATAAAATTGCTAACCTCGAAAATAGCATCAAACTTCTGACACTTCCGTGACCGACTGGACAGATGAAGGATTCAACCCATCTGCTTATGATTGGAAAACTATCAAACACATTGTAGATGATGACAAAATCAGATGGGCAATATCTAGCTTCTTTCCATTTAAATCGCCAGGACCTGATGGTAACTATCCAACCCTACTTCAATGGGGCCTGGAAGAACTCACACCACACCTGGTAGGTATACTCAAATCCTCGTTGTCTCTGAGGTATATCCCCAAATATTGGAAAGGTCAAAGTAGTCTTTAAACTCAAACCTGGAAGGATATCGGGGTCTTGCTGATTCACTAGCAGACCTAATTAAAGAACATTCCTTTGTAAAATTCAAAGAAAGCTGAGATGAAACAAGAAACTGCAGAGTTACCAGGGAGTTTTTAAGTTAACTTGACAACACTGCAGCAAACAAATAATTAACTTTGACTAGACATGCTGATTGGTCTTTGCCAAGTACGGAAACATCTCCATATCCTGAATCAGAATCCGCACTTTGCAGGGGTTCGAACAAGAAGATGAGACCATCGAGCATATTTACGATTGGTCGATGCTCTCATTTATTAGAAGATTTGTATTCGGCGAGTATGGGCTAACACCTGCCGATATAGGAGAACCACCTCTTGGCGACATTAAATCTGTAGGCTGGTTCACGAGCTTGGAGGTGCCTATCATCTTAGGAAGATGCACAATGTGTCGTGGTGGTAATCAACCCTCTACTTGTTACATATATAGATAGACATACGCGTTTAGAAAAAAATACTTAGATTTTTTAGAAATCAAAAATTTTCCATTTGAAAAAAATAATTTTAATGTTGCTTTACTTATTGGGGGCATCCTGTATATTTTAACATGAATAGCTAATTAGTTTATCTACTTTGATATATGTGCTTGAGCTCAATTTATAGGGCGTGGGTTAGGTTTTTAAATAACTCGAATAACTTTGAAAAAAGTTGGGCCCACTATATTTGAAGCTTATACACTTAACCCTACATTAGTGATAAAAATATAGAAAATCACTAACCACTAATAAATTATACTTAAAACATGCTTTAGATAAGGTAGGTATCAAATTCTAATTCACATAAGTTTGCACATATTTCAAATTTAAAGCAATTTATTGATTAGATCAATTGCACTTATCTCTGTGGTAAATAAGGTAATATACGATATAGTAAGTTAAAGGTAAAAATCAAGTATTTCTTCCTTCGCCCCAAACTGCAGAGGTACATCAATCCCTAAACATTATATACCGGTCAGACAACTTCAACCAAGTGATTCGGGATTCTTATTCATAACACATTCGTGATTGAACTGTGAATGTCTTCAAGATAAATGATTCTTATTTGTATTCAAACCCGAACCGCCTAGAGATTGCCATAGGCTTATAAAATCAGACGGTCATTAACATAAATAAATATAAATTAATATTTCGGATGACCGTAATAAAATTAAAATAGAAGTGATCTATTCGTCGCTGTATGTCAGATGAAATAAAAATGGCACAACCTCTGACACAAAGCATAGACGACAAATGACATTTGAGTAAGAGGTGATTGTGTCCGAAATAACGGTTCCGACCGTTACAATATTAGAAAATATTTTTACAATGGGCGTCTCTGCGAATCGTAAAATTTTTGTATTCGCGTTTCCTCGTATTTTTAAAAACAACCGAGATATTGGACTCCCGCACACGAATGGGACACCTTGTATATACTGTAAAACTCTAGCGAATTGTCCGTATGGTGCCAAGACGACTGACCACTCCGCCTATATCATATCCATTCTTGTTGTCCAAACTACAATTTTGCAGCGAAACGTTTTTATACTTACTCTAAAAAGTCCGAGGAATAATAAATATCAATCCATATTACTGGACTCGGTGTTTTACAAAATTCTGGAAAACATTCTTGATTATCTATTTCTTTATAAATATGATCTGCTGTATTTTCCTTATAGACATGTACTTGGTTATCACTACCAGATAGCACGAACACTACCTAAAATGCAGGTGTTATTTTATTCAAAAATTTCCTTTTATCTATAACAGCGTAAACTGATTTAAGGTAACTGTGTTTTAAATGGAATTTAGAATCAATAGCTATTTATGTAATCAGTTACGAAATGCCTTATTTTATGAACGAGTTAATGTGTTACATACAATATAGTTTGAGTAAAAAATTACTAACATCTATGCAACCAATATTACTTTGGTGCATTGTTAACTTCATTCATTTCATTGGAATATTTAGAAAAATAGAAAATCATAAAATTTATTCTCAACCCCTTGTTGTAAGATGTTTATCTTGATTTTTAAAGTTATTTAGATTTCATGAAAGTGGGTTATTTTGTCCTATATTGTGTTTTATTTTGTGCAGATTTAGAATGGAAAATAAATAAGGACCAAAATTAATTATTAGTAAACAAATAGTTGAAATCTATATATATAAAATTGTTTGTCTTGACTGACTGACTGACTGACTGATCTATCAGCGTACAACCAAAACTACTGAGCCTAGAAAGCTGAAATTTGGAACATAGGTTTATTTTATAACGTAGGCAACCGCTAAGGAAATTTTAACTTTAAAGGGGGGAAATGGGGGGAGTTTTTAATGAAACTCTTTGTTCTTTAAAGTTAAAAACATGAAAATTTAAATTACAGCTACTAAGCATAAATAAATAATGACATATTTCAGGGTTTTGGATTTTCACTTTTTAAGGGGGGGTGTTCTCTATGAAGTTAGAAACATGAAAATTGGAATTGCCGCTACTGACTACAAATTATTAATGATGTGTTTCAGGGTTTTTCGAGTTTCACATTTTAAGGGGGGAAATGGGGGTGAACATTTATTTGGGAGTATCCATTTTTGGTTTTCTTTAAAGTTAAAAACATAAAAATTGGAATTGCAGCTACTGATTACAAATTAATAATAATGTGTTTTAGGGTTTTTATATTTTGAGGGGGGGCAAACGGGGGGTGAACGTTTGTATGGGAGTATATATTTTTTTGTTCTCTTTGAAGTTAGAAACATGAAAATTTAAATTGCAGCTAATGAGTACAAATTAATAATGACGTGTTTTGGGGTTTTTGTATTTTCACATTTTAAGGAGGGAAACGGGGGGAGGGTGAAAGTTTATTTGGAAATATCGATTTTTTTTAAAGGTAGGAACTTGAAAATTGGAATTGTAGGTTCTCATCATAAATAAGTAATGAAGTATTTCAGGGTTTTTGCATTTAAACATTTTAAATGAAATTTTAAAATATATTCTGTGCTCAGACCAAGTTGTTGTATTTTGCGCCACCTTAAAAACGTTAATTTTTTCCAGTTGTGAAAAGAAAACAACTAAAAATAAACCTTTTTTGGTTTTAAAATCAATATAATATTAAAATCAACGTTTCAACTTTTCCCACGTGTCTGATTGATAAAATATATAGCAATGTCGTCTGAAAAACCGAACTTATAAACGAGACTAGTCCATTTAACCCATAGACCGTGTTCGAGTTAGGGATTATATCCCTTTTTTATTAGGTACCTTTATACCTGTCCCGTGCGTTTCCGCAGTTCGAGTGCGTCCGTTGTGATTACTAAATATTGTCATGAATTCCTAATCCGACCCTGTGTACGCACGCAACCGTCTCGTGATCGAAGCAACGCTGACGTGTGGAAATAGCCGGACCTGCCGCTGATGCCCTAGAAACAGCTGGAACGGCGGGGAGTGCCGTTTAGTCATAAAAATGGAATCTTCGCGAGCCTCTAGCATTTTCTAGTAACGGAGTTGGACTAATATAAATAGCCGACGTATCAGAGCTGAGTTAGTTGAATATAGAACATTGTATTGAAAAGTTAAAATGTAAGAAATAAATTAGAATTGTTTTAGTGTCTAAATCTATATATATGTTATATCTTGAATAACACTATTAGTTTTTTAAAAAATATTTTATTACTTAAAAGGTATAATGTGTTTGTTGTAGGTGAGTTGTTATAACTGACTGACTTTTAATGTGTCACCCCTATTTATAACATAGGTAAAACAAAAGAAATATCTAAAAGGTGTAATGTGACACTTTATTTATAACGTACCAATTTATATATATATATAAAATTGTTTGTCCTGACTGACTGACTGACTGACTGACTGACTGACCTATCAGCGTACAGCCAAAACTACTGAGCCTAAAAAACTGAAATTTGGAACATAGCTTTATTTTATAACGTAAGCATCCGCTAAGAAAGGATTTTTGGAAATTTTAACTTTAAAGGGGGGAAATGGGGGGAGAGAGCTTTTAATGAAACTCTTTGTTCTTTAAAGTTAGAAACATGAAAATTTAAATTACAGCTACTGAGCATAAATAAATAATGACGTGTTTCAGGGTTTTTGGATTTTTTACATTTTAAGGGGGGAAACGGGGGGTGAAAGTTTGTAAGGGACTATCGATTTTTTTTGTTCTCTATGAAGTTAGAAACATGAAAATTGGAATTGCAGCTACTGACTACAAATTAATAATGACGTGTTTTAGAGTTTTTGGATTTTTACATTTTAAGGGGGGAAATGAGGGGTGAAAATTTATTTGGGAGTATCCATGTTTTTGGTTCTTTTTAAAATTAAAAACATGAAAATTGGAATTGCAGCTACTGAGTACAAATTATTAATAATGTATTTTAGGGTTTTTATATTTTTACATCTTGAGGGGGGCAAACAGGGGTAAAAGTTTGTATGGGAGTATAACTTTTTTTTGTTCTCTTTGAAGTTAGAAACATGAAAATGGGAATTGCAGCTAATGAGTACAAATTAATAATGACGTGTTTTAGGGTTTTGGATTTTCACATTTTAAGGGAGGGAAACGGGGGGGGTGGAAGTTTATTTGGAAATATCAATTTTTTTAAAGGTAGGGACTTGAAAAATGGAATTGTAGGGTCTCATCATAAATAAATAAATAATGAGGTGTTTCATGATTTTTGGATTTTCACATTTTAAGGGGGTAAAACGGGGGTAAAAATTAATAAAAATTAAAAAAAATTAAAAAAAAATTAATAAAAAATTATTAAAAATTAATAAAAATTAATTATTAAAATCGCCATACATTATCGTCTCGATGATGGTGAGTGAGGTTTTCCGGGTTTTCCTCACCTGTAAGTCAAATGGCACCATCAATCATCCTTAAGTCGCCCCGGAGCACCACGGCAAATAATAATAATAGCCGTCCCTTCCCCTACACAAGTCGTTCAGTCGACTTCAGGGGTTGAAATTCACTCGTAAGGGGGTGAATTAGGGAGATTATTATTATTATTATTAATAAAAATAAATAAAATTTAATAAAAATTATTAAAAATCAATAAAAATTAATAAAAATTAATAAAAATTAATAAAAATTAATAAAAATTATTAAAAATTATTAAAAATTAATAAAAATTAATACAAATGAATTAAAATGAATAAAAATGAATAAAAATAAATAAACATGAATAAAAATAAACATGAATAAAAATGAATACAAATGAATAAAAAATAAAAAAAAATGAATAAATATGAATAAATATAAAAAAATGAAAATTGATAAAACTAATAAAAATTAATAAAAAAGGAAGTCATGTATTTTGTTATATTAATAACACGACAATATGCGAGCAAAGCCGCGGGAAATAGCTAGTATTATATAAATTAAATAGTACGTCTGAAATAAATTGTAAATAGTGTGTTTTTAAATAAATAAACTTTAAATAAATTAGACTTTCGTCACAATATACCTAAAAAGTTTGTATAAAATAAAGCAAAGGTAACATTTTGTTGAGTCGTTTATAATTATAATATATTATAATTTTTAATCAATAAATCATTTAATAAAATACGTTTTATTTTTTATTTTCTATAATCCAAATCGAGTGACCCAGTATGGGTTTTATGCGTAAAATTAATGCATCACAAATGTAAATGTAATTGTATTTCTTAAAGATACAACAAAATAATATTAAAAAAAAATATATTTAGAATTACGTTTTAAGGTACCATTTCGGTAGCCGCGTCAGGAGACCAGTAGGACCAGGGCCGAGCCAAGCTATTCGGCCGCCCGTGTGCAAACCATAATTTGCCGCCCCTTTTAAAATTTAACGTTCAAAAATCATCACTTGTTACCCTTTATAACTAAAAATGGATACATAGGTAATAAATAAAATTGAAATTAAGTAAATGCTAATAATTATATTTAATTTTGATATAAGACTTGTATATATGACAATTTAAAACATGTCTAATATGTAACTCAGAAATCTATTATCAAAGCAGAAATAGAAAAACTTAAATTCTTGCCTTTTTTTCGGCGAAATCTTTAATTAACTCGTCGAGGGAAATAGAATCCATAATTTCACTTTCTATGGACATAATTGCTAAATAGCTAAGTCTTTCTTGTGCCATACTGGACCTTAAATATGTTTTTATCAATTTAAGTTTTGAAAAGGACCTTTCCCCTGATGCTACGGATACTGGTAGCGTTAAAAAAATTCGAATAGTCACTGCAATATTTGGAAAAGTCGAAATTAACTGATTTTCTAAAATATATTGAAGAATTACTTGGGGGTCTAAATCGTTTTCCCCTGTGGACTCTGGCATGTGACATTTTAAACAATTAATTTCATCAAATAAGTCATTTGCGTCAATATCTGATTCTTTACGTGATTCGTCTTTCAAATGAAACGATAAATTTTCACAAGATATCCTTAATTCTTCTTGAGTCAAGCGGAACATTTTATAAATAAACCCAAAAATATTATTGAATCGCTTCAATTCCTTAAACCTTTCATCAAGAGATGATAAGGTTGTATCTAGTATAGAAAAAAATACGTTCACTTTGTTATTAATTTTAGGGTCGATTATTGGTTCGTCGTTACTTTCATAATCAAACTGTTTTTTCTTTTTTCTTAGCCGAACAGTTTGTATCGACGCAAAATTAGGCTCGATTTCTAATTCTTCGGCCAGTTCTCTGGCGTCGACAAGAATTTCATTA